TATACTGATTTGCTGCTCAAGAAACATTTATTATTATTATCGATGTTGAAAACATTTGTGCATGCTTAATATTTTTGTGGAAACTGTGATACATTTTTCCCACTCAGGATTGTTTGGTGAATATAAAGTTTAAAAGAAAATAATTTATTAGAAATAGAAATCGTTTGTAACATTATGTTTTTATTGTCACATCAATTTAATGTGTCCTTGGTGTATAACAATATTCATTTGTTTTAAAAAATCTTACCAAAACTTTTGAATGGTAGTGTTTTTGATATATTTTTTTAACATTAGTTGAATAATATTATGAACTACCATGAATTAACAATGATAAAGAATTAAAATAGTATACTTTATACATTAATTAAAAAGTGATGTTAAAATTGTTTATTGTTAGTTCATGATGATACCTGATGCACGTACTTAATGTTAGCGTAAAGTGTTCTTATAGTATAGTAAATCTTAATCTTATAGTAAAGTGTTTTCGTTATAGATTGTATCAACATAAGAAGTTGAACTCACCTCTGACATGCCACTGTCCCACGAGTTTGGAAAACGCCAGAAATAAGGACGATAGTAAAACATGAAAGGTGAAAAAAGATCACTGTTGGGTAAGTGCTCTCCGAAATACTGGTCATAAATTCGATAAGGGAAGTAGCCTGAGAACCAGGGCCGGCGGTACCAGGTATGTTGGATTGAAATTTCCATTCTATCTCAGCAAAGCAGCTGGAGTTGATAGCGGATCTGCTGCACGTTCTGCTGAGGCCCTGTATTTATGGCCCATCCGTAAACCTTATGTCATCTACCTACCCGCTGATCCATCTCCAGTTATGATCTAAAGTGTTTTTTTTTTTGCTGCCCCCTTCCCCTCTGGCTCATTCAAACAAAAAGCTATTTAATCACCCTTCACTCTCTATTAGATCATACAGTCTCAAACCTCGAGCTTTGAATAGTGTTAATGCCCCTCTGCTCACAAGCCTGGAAAAATATTTGCCTGGCTAAGTTAGAATGGATCTGAGTGAAGCCTCCATGTCAACTGACCACATCCCTAGCAAACTCTTGTGCCAAGAGGGATTCTGCCCCCGTGCCCTGAACGGGACACGGCCAGATACTATCTGCTCCCTCCTGGCTGCGATCAGAGGAGAACTCAGGCAGAAAGATAATATTATGCCCTAAAATGGACGGGACTGCAGGAATCAGCAAGACTGGTGATCCGCTGTAATTCAGACGTGATAAATAAACCCTCTAGGCCAAGAGCATCACCGCTGTCAGGTGTCCTGGAATGGGGCTGGAAACAATTGCAGATGTTTTATTCAACAAGTTTGTGATTAAAATATATACACTGTAGGCATAGTTGCATTAAGGAACACTGAGTGAATGTTCCTCAAGCAAGAAGTCTGATTAATTTTAGATAACTGGTTCACTCATTCAAAAACCAAACTCACCCATGCAGTCATAAAAAAAAGAAAAAAAAAAGTTATTTTTGTTGTGAAATAAATAGTTAAAAACTTAAGTTTAAAAATACTTCTGTATATAGTGTTATTGATTATACTATTTAAAATAGGGCATATGGCATAAGGCCTCAGCAAACTTGTAAGAGTGCTACAAGATGACCTAAACTTATATTAAAAATAATAATAAAAAACTGAATTAAAAGCATAAAAAAAATCAAATATGTAAACTGAAATCATATTCCCCCCTCAATAACTATTATGAAATAATATACCTAATCAGAGTTTTGTATTTTCTGGAATCAAAAAAAAAAAAAAAAATTCAGTTTTGTTTAATAAAAAAAGTTTGAAAACGAGCAGCGTTGTTATAATTGCAGCAGAAATATGAGAGAAAATGTCTTAAAAAGGTAATTCAGCACTGACAAGACGGGGTTTTAATAAAAGTTGGCTTTCTATGCAGTAGAAACATGTTTTTTAAAGGGGTCATAGGATGCCCATTTTCCACAAGTTGATATTATTCTTTAGGGTCTTAATGAAAAGTCTGTAACATAGTTTGGTTAAAATTTCTCAATGGTAGTGTAAAAAAAACACTTTTTACCCTGTCAAAAACAGCTCTTTTCAGATCAAGCCGTTTTTGTAGTATTTTCCTTTAAATGTAAATCAGCTCTGCTGACCCCGCCCCTCTCTTCCGAGCTGCTCTCAGAGAGACTGTTTACTTTAGCCTCACTCATCGTGAAACTTGCTAATTAGCATATTATTAGGAAATGCGATTTGCAAAGATTCATTACAAAACATTATACTCACTTCTTCTGTAGATGAGGCTGGATCATGAATGATTCGCGCGAACATAGATGCATATATGTAGATCGGGGGCATATTCCCTTCAGAAACAATGTAATCCACTGCCTGTTCAGCGGCTCAAATGTCGGAAGTAAATGACGAGTGCTGTGTTCATTATTACATCCAACAACAGAACACCTCAATCGCTTAGGAGTCATTCTTGTCTACATCTGCTCCAGCGGTGAAACAATGGCGGACTGATGACAGCTCACTCAGGGTGGGTCTAAGGTAAGACACCAGTCCAGTCTGTGCTGAAACGCTACCGTCAATCAAACTATCGTGGGAGGGGCCTGTCTGTGTGACGTCACACTGAGATCGGCTCGATTTGAGAAAGGGGCAAACATTTAACAAGATTAAAAAAAAAAAACACTGGGTGGATTTTTATCATTATAGGGTGGTTGTGTACACACACTGCCAGCACACATTTCAGTTCAAACAACTTGTAAAAGTGCATGTAGCATCCTATGACCCCTTTAAATGTGCTTCACAACCAGGGAAATCTGTGAAAAAGGGCTATGGCCAAAAAAGGCAGGAAAACTTCAACACCCACAATGCACTGGGCTTGATCAGACTGTCCATGAGTGGGGATACAAAAATGCGTAAGTATCTGTAGTTTTCATAAAATCATCATCTGGTGGACTTTTGCTGACAAATAAATAATAAATGGGGAAATCTTGGTGCAGGTAATATGGAAAAATAAAACACATTGTTAATTAACTTATACTGCCAACAATGTAATAATACAAAGCTGATGAAAATCAGTGAACTTAAAAAAGTTGAAAAAGGTCCATTGTCTTATGTCAATAGTGTAGCTATGAAGCATTTCAAACCATGACAATATGCAGAACAATGGTAAGTGTGACCACAACTTTAGCAAAATTGAGGGTCCTTGGATTATTGTGTTGGACAATGAGTTGCCTTCAAATCAAAAAGTTTGAAAACCACTAGAGAGGTCATCATTGTAATTGTACCAGATAAGTTTCAGAAGTATATTCAAAGTAGCTTCAATATAAACTGTACATACAAATGCTAATACACTACTTATGCTAAATACTATTCATACACTAACAGTGCACACTGTAGTGTATAATGTAGCACAGTGCACAGTCATGTACAGTATTTCTACATTATAGCACAAACTATATCATGCATAGATGACTTCTATGTATTCTTTATTCAACATAGTTATATTTATATATCATATGTACATATTCATCACTACTTGTATCTAAGAATGCAGTGGCAAGATGGGGGGGGGGGGGGGGGGGGGGGGGGGGGGGGGGAGTTCAAATGTTAGTGGTTAGACAAAACTGAGTCACAATTTGCAGTCTTGACTGTGGCTTAACTTCTGTAGATAATAAGTAGCTTGTAGCTTTACCAAGCTACATTTACATACATAGTAGCTTTCCCAACACTGGCCTTGACTATCTGAGTAATCTCTGCCAGTAATAGGTTTTTCTAATTCCACCCCAAACCCACTGCCAATATGATCATCCTGCTCAGCACAAACTGGGACTGTAGCCATTCAGGGATAAATGTGTTGTCAGTGCATAACCATGTCCTTGTATTATTATATATTTTTTTGTATTAAAACAGATATAATGTATAAAGTAAAATGTATATCTCTGTAACTGCACTATTTCTTTCTTGAGCTTTTTTTTTTTTTTACCATTTCAAATCACTTCACCAGTTCACCTTCTAGTGTGGTGTAGAAATTATTTTTTAAAAGTACAAATGTCAACGCTCAATTAATATTAGCACATAAAAGCAAAGTAAGTATAAAAGAATGAGCAAAATTCAATTTAAAATATTTTTAGATGGAATACAGTATGCCACACCACACGAGCATGTCAACTACAATGTAATATATATATATATATATATATATATATATATATATATATATATATATATATATATACAAAGTTGTAAAGATTTTTGGAGTATAACAAGACAATTCTACTTCAGTTTTTCTACTTTCTACTAAATTTAATTCAGTGTGTTACTCACCTTTTCTTTGTAATTATTTGTGAAATTTAAAAGCAATTTCAGAGTGAAAATTATCTCACCATTTTTTTCACTGTAACAAAATGTCATTAACAATTCTATTAACACATTCTACCCCTGGAATGAAAATATAACACAAATAAAAATAAAAAACTATTTATGATTTATTTATTTTGTGACTATTGTGATGCTAATAAAATTCCATCTAAAAAAGGGAACAAATCTGCAATATATGCTTTTGCTAAATTATGGGGCTCTAAGTAATTTCCCTTTCAAAATGTCAGAAAAACGAAACAGTTTTATTATAATAAACAATAGTCTGACATCATGATTTCAGTAATTATCACTGGAGACAGTGTGGTGGAACAATATATTCTGACTTTAAACTGATGTGGTTATACTCAACATCCTCTTTCTCTCTGACTTTCACACACACACACACACACACTCCCTCATTTCGACATAATGCAACAATATAAGATGCAATTCACACTGTGAATCAAGCACTAATCATAACCTACATGTTTTTGCTTTTATGGAGCTGGTTATTGAAGTGTGCCATCTTCACACAGAGGACACATCCAGTCAGCATGGTTTACTGGAGACGCCCTTTTTTTCATCCTAACCACCACCCACCCACCCCCCTCCATCCGAAAGGGAGGGGTGAAGATGGAGGATGGGAGGGTAAAGAGAGCTGGGCTGAACCATGTCTGACTCCTTAAAAAAAAAAAGAACAAGGGAGGGGGAAGACAAGGAGCGAAGAGAAACATAAGGGCAGAGGAAAAATACCTTATAACTGCCTTGAGAGAGGCACAAAAACAGGGAGAATGAGAAACAGGAGTCATACGAGTCACAGAAGACGCTGTCGAGATTCAAGAAGGGGGACGGCAGACCATTCAAAAGCTCTTTTCTCCCCTGTGAAAACAGGATTACTTCTCATCATAGAAACACATGCTGCCTCTGATCAGGATTTTCAACGTTGAGTCTGTGGGAATACCCATTTAATCAGGGTTTACAGTGCAAGTGTTAAGGCTGTCCAAAGGACGACCTGCCAAACAACATTCGCATGGACTGCGATCTGTTCTCCACTATCATCTCCATCAGACTAGACTGGCAGCTACGTGGACACTGGGATTTGTGTGCGGGTCTCTGATGTGCACACCCTTTGGACCGGCACTGTGCCGTCTGCTATGTTGATGACACTCTGCTGCTTCCTCGAACCCTACGGGTTGGGCTGGATCAGAATGGGAGGTTAAAAGGGCAAATAGCATCATGGGAGCCAAACAAATGAAATGGTATGAAATTCCACAGCTCCCTCTCTCGTTTTTTTCTTTCCTGTGTCCATCTTCTATTCCATTCCATTTTCTTCATTTGACTGCAATATTGTGTTATTGTATTTGGTTGTATATGAATATTATAACCTGTAATGAGTGATACTGGATGGGACAGCAGTGTTCTCTACCTGTGAATGTATGTCTCAATTGTGCCCATAAGATTAATGTGTGGGTGTTGCCTGCTATTGTGAAATCACCTAGCAACCGGGAATCACTGGCTTCAATATGGTCAGTGTCATCTGCATGCTAGATGCTCAGATTTATGAATCCATTTGGTCCATTGATGTGTTGACAGTTATGGGATTTTGATACACAGTACATAAAGAGGTCATACAAGTGGAGTAAATGACTAGGGGGGGGATCTTTGTTCTCACTTGTAAATGTTTCATTGTTTCAGAGTAATTAATCTATTTTAAAACCAGGACCAGCTTCAAAAAACTAAGTAGCAATGTGTTATACACACTCTAAAAAACACTGGGATAAAAACAACCCAAGGGCTGGGTAAATATAGGACAGAACCCATCTTGGGTTAAATTTACCCAGCAAATTAGGTTGTTTATTTAACCCATCATAATGGGTTGATTTAACCCAGCTAATGGGTTTATTCATTTTTACTATATTACTAGCTTATTTGTTTACTTCATACATTAAATAATGTTTACAGATTAACTTAAATCCTCTAAACTTTTCTAAAATACTCCAACCACTGGTTTGCATGATAACTTCCTTTATTTTCCTTTATTCATCATTTACAGCATTGTTTATATCGTTTTTAATAGGCTATACATATTGCCTATATTTAAACTCGTTTAACAAACATTAGAATAAAAATTCAACATTAAACAGAAGTAATTCACGTGTGATCGACCGGTCTCTGTTATTCTGTTTCCACTGTAACGGTGCTGGTTCTCGTGCCCGAGGCCGAGCTGGAGTCGTGTTCGGCGGGGAACTGCTAACGGACCGACGCCCTGCGTTACACTCTAGCCGAAACATGCTGTGACTCCATAACCTGCCAATAAACAGCTCTGAGGACATGTTTTTACATCCAAAGTATTATATTCTGTATCTTTATGAATAAAATCGTTTATTAAATGCAAAGCATCAGGCTTTTCCATCACGCGAAAAAACCGCGACACTCCTTAAAGGTGATTCACACCGCGCGCCTGTATGTTGCTCTGCATAAAATTGAACAATCTACAGCACAGTAATGATTTTATAGATAAAATAAAATTTACACAAACCTATATTTTACCGAAGAATACATCAATTTGATGGCGCTTAGAACTGCTCTCTCTCGTGAAGAGAAGATGCAAAATCGCCGCGATAAATAACTCAACCGCTTACGTCTGACCTAGGATCTGAGTAACACAAAAACTACCCAAACATTGAGAAGGGTACAACTGCAGCCTGGAGATCTCCAAATGGGGGCGGGAACTCCAAAACGGGGTGGGAGCTCCAAAATAGGGCGTGGCTTCCTCCCATTGACAGACAGGCACATGACACACATGCACAATTTTTTCCCCCCAATCCACTTCAGTGCAAACTCCGCCCCACAGCTGATTCTAAAGATTTTATTGGTTGTGTCAATTAAAGTGTTGATTTCCTACACTATGCTACAAAAAATGCTAACCCTTAAACCTACCTCACACCTGACACTAACCTTAACCAGTGAAATTGACTGCACGGCAGGATTGGCGCTGCGTGGTAAAGAAAGTTGCAGTTCAGGAGATAAACAGTTAATAAGATTATGCGTTATGAGATCGTTCCGTAACTCCCCAACCGGACCTCACCTGACAATGGCAACTTTTTAGTTACACCCACCGTCACTACCCCCTCCTACCCTGTGAATTTCGAGCCCCGGGATGCCCCCGTTGCTTAGAACAAAGCAATAGAGTGAAATCTTTCCCCTGCGCTGGGACGGCTCGCGGGAGAGCTCGTGGGTGATTCCCGTTTATATCATTAAGCAGAGGTTCAAACACCACTGGCCTCGAGCTTTGGGCTCTGCTCTCATGGAGAATATTTACTTTTTAGATGAACTAGAAACAATGTTTAATTTATACAATTTTATTTTGAAATGTAAGTCAATAACAATTGGCTGGAGCCAGAGCCAATGGTGAAAGTCTTTGCGCGAGGAGACCCCGCCCCATTTTGGAGGTTCTGCCCCCTTTTGGAGTTCACGCCCCCATTTTGGAGAGCTGCAGTTATATCTACTTGGAAACATTGGGTTATGTGTCTGACCCAGGACCTGCAAAACAACCCAAACACTGGGTTGTTACATTTGACCCAGGAGCTGGGTAACACAAAAATAACCCAAAAAATTACCCAAAAGGCTCAACCCAGCATTTGGGTTAAAAAAATAACCAAGGATTTTTTTAGAGTGCAGGTTTATGTTATGGCAGTGGATATTTAAGCAATTTCACACAAGCAAGAGTGACAGCATGATTAAGAGGTTACTTGCACGAGACGCAGGGTAGATAAATATAAAAACCCAAGGTCTTGAGACATACTTTGTAAAAGTTGAAGAACTTTTAACTCTATAATGCAGTGTCATGCACGAGACACTGCAAAACACACAAGACACGAGGACAATGATCAAACGTGTCCATCTAGTGCATGTTTACATGTAGAAAATAGGAAATTTCGTGTGATGCCGAAAAAAAAAATCCCAACACAGATTTCACAATCTGAATTCACCAAGTTGACCAAAAGTAAGCAATTCTGAAAGTAATAATGTGACATCCAAATTCAGGCCAACAGCACATGATATTAATTGTATTCAACAGGTCAATAAACAAGAAGTTAATTTAGAATAGCTTACATTTTAAATACAATATCTATTTTTTAGTTACTTTGTCTCAGAGCAAAACCCACAATACCGGCCTTATGGAATAAATTTGTGTTCCACAAAGCTGTTGAGAGAATGATTCGGTGATTCACTCAAAGACATTCAGCAGTTTTGTTCCTAAATGAATCATTGTTTTGAACAAATTGGTTGAGTATGTGATTCAATGACTCATTCACAAAGACATTCGGGTGTTTTGTTCCTGAATGAATAAGTGTTTTGAATGAAATGGTTGAGTGAATGATTCAATAATTCACTCACAAAGACAATAACTTAACACTGCAAACTGGCATAATCATGCAAGCTGCAGAAAGAGTTACTGAAACAACTTCTTTTTTATCCCCACAGTTTGGAACAAAATAAAATGGGTTATGAAACAAATCCAGTGAATAGGTTTCTGTTGCAAAATAAACAAAACAAACCCATTGTCCATACTGCATAGTGAATGTAAAGTACAGTGTGATATGAATATTTTTAGATGAGCCATTCAGATTATGTTTTATGACTGGTTTACTATAAATCAACATGTTCCTCTTTGTATAAATAATCAACATTTAGTAATATGGCACCCCTCAAAGCAGCATTCTGCTTTAATTTCATGCCTGTGTACACATCTCTTTATGTAGTCATTTTCAGAAGCTTAATCAAGAAGATGTAATCCTGGTTAATAGTCCTTATCAAAATCAGTTTATGCAAACAAGACTGAATTGATGATGCTAATCAACTGAGAGAGTTGCTTTGTGTCTTATTCTGTGTGACGGACTTCATTCTGTCTTAATTTCTTCGCTAGATCTCAATTTCAATATCACATTCCCATGCCATAGGAACAGCTAGGGGTGTTGGAGAGTGTTGAGTCTCTCATTTCATCTTTACTGAAAACAGATGAATGGCATGTGACTTAAGAATGCTCTGAAACTGTATTAGTGCGGTTTGAAACTGAAAACCTGTATGAGAAAGGTGACATGTCTATTGTAACTGGAATTTCCCTATTTTTAGTTCAGTTACATGTGATTAAAAGTGAACACATTATACCTTATGTACACAAAAGGCTTTTTTTCATTGTCATCAAATTACTTGAGGTGGTTACATATGACTGATAATTAGGACCATACAAATACATGGTTATCTTCCTAACTGATTCTTTGCAACATCTCTCCAGCCTCAGTTCATCCAGTCCAGCACACACACCCAAGGAAGAGTATATTATTGCCAAATCTGAAGATTCAGGAGAGCTAGTGTGGAACCACACAGAGCAACCACAAAGCCTAGGTAGGATGTTTTCCCTACTTGACCCTACTTTCCACACGGTTTCTATATGTTTCTTGTATTTTGTTGTATTTGTTTCCTTTGTAGAGGATGTAGTGAAATCTTCAGCCACAGAGCCGTCTCCTGGCCCAGAGCATGCTGGGAAAGAGGAAAGCAGCACATGGGAGGAACAGCTATGTGCCCAGCAGGAACAGCTGGAGAAGGAGATGCAAGAGACCAGGAAAATGGTGACTAGGCTTCAGGTAAGTTATTTGCACATATTTACATTGTGCATTGTTTTTGCGACATCAGGCTTTTTATGTCAAATACTGAAGACTGACACTGAAGACTGGAATAAAGATGCTGAAAATTAAGCGTTGCATCACAGAAATAAACTACATTTTAAAATATAAAATATTTATTTTAAATTGTAATATTAAAAAAAATAATAATAATAATATTAGACCCAAAACGTTTCATTGGTGTATATTACATAAAAAAAATTATTTAACTGTATTTAGAATATATAAAATGCTAGTTATAAAATTAGCCTTAGCGAGACGATGCAGTCTGACTGATCACATGATGACTGTTGGTTCAACACCATACAGGTGCATCTCAATAAATTAGAATGTCGTGGAAAAGTTCATTTATTTCAGTAATTCAACTCAAATTGTGAAACTCGTGTATTAAATAAATTCAATGCACACAGACTGAAGTAGTTTAAGTCTTTACAGACTTCTTCAGCAGCAGCAGCAAGCAAAAGTGGATGATGCATTGCTCAGGATCAGTGAAAGCTATCATAGGGTAACTAAATGAACTACTAGGGGCCTGATTATGCAATATTTGATTGTCCTATCGAATTTTTATATCATAATGTTGTACATAAACACTCTGTAGCTGTAATTTATTCCTGAGTCTCCTGACCTTCCTAATGTATTTAGCTTCGTATTTCTTAGACATTCCCGTAAAATGTGGATTACTGTAAGGTATAACCATAAATGACTTAGTACATTTGTAGTGTTCTACATTAATAATACAAAATTGTTTGCTTCAGTTGTCAGGCTGTGAGAATAACGGCTACGACAGACTTCTTCAGCAGCAGCAGCAAGCAAAAGTGGATGATGCATTGCTCAGGATCAGTGAAAGCTATCATAGGGTAACTAAATGAACTACTAGGGGCCTGATTATGCAATATTTGATTGTCCTATCAAATTTTTATATCATAATGTTGTACATAAACACTCTGTAGCTGTAATTTATTCCTGAGTCTCCTGACCTTCCTAATGTATTTAGCTTCGTATTTCTTAGACATTCCCGTAAAATGTGGATTACTGTAAGGTATAACCATAAATGACTTAGTACATTTGTAGTGTTCTACATTAATAATACAAAATTGTTTGCTTCAGTTGTCAGGCTGTGAGAATAACGGCTACAGTCACATGATGGACACATCCTCCGCTGTTTTCCAATACAGAATGGTGAGCCATGGCATTCTTCATTTTAAAAAGAATTCGCTTAATAAAATTTCGAATAAATGTGTGTATTGTTTGTTCTTTGGTTCTGGTTGGATGTGTGCGTCAGGGGGATGAGCTACAGCTGGTGCGAGATGCTCTGCGCAGTCTGAGGGACAGTTTCAGCGGTCATGACCCGCAGCACCACACGCTGGACACGCTGGAGCAGGGTGTGGCCAGTCTGGTGGACCGCCTCCACACCACCGAGAACAAGAAAAGGCAGGAGAGAAAGGCAAGGCCAACCTTTACCTGTATCCAACACTACTAACAAAAATATATTCCAAGAATGTTTGCTAACGTTCATGTTAAGTTATGAAAACGTTATTTCTCAATGTTTTTTAAACTTTTTTTTTTCTTGGCAATATGATGAGCTAGAGAAATCATTAAGAGAACATTCCAGTTGATCATTTTGCAAACATTATGGATAAGTTACTTTTGAATGTCATCTAAAACATCTCTAACACAAGTATTAATGCTTAAAAATAGTTAGACAAATGTCCAACTAAAATGTTTTGGAAAATAACTTTCCATGAACGATGAATCAATTATTTTTTTGTAATGTTTTGAGCACATTACTAAAGACCAGATAACTTTGATCAAATCTTCTATTAACAGTACTGGAAGAAAAGCTTGTTTATAACGTAGTTTGAACTTGCCATAATGTTCCATGTTAGATGAAAATATGTATTAAAGTTGCAATGAAACAGAAATGTGACCCTGGACCACAAAACCAGTCATAAGTGTCCAATTTTCGAAATTGAGATTTATACATCATCTGAAAGCTGAATAAATAAGCTTTCCATTGATGTAGTGTTTGTTAGGATAGGACAAAATTTGGTCGAGATACAACTATTTGAGAATCTGAGGGTGCAAAAAAATAAATACAAATATTGAGAAAATCGCCTTTAAAGGGATTGTTCATTAATTTCTCACCCTCATGTCGTTTCAAACGCGTAACACCTTCGTTCATCTTCGGAACACAAATTAAGATATGTTTGATGGAATCTGTCTGACCCTGAATAGCATACGCTGTATACGTCCAGTGGATATTCTCTAAAATGGCGCTACAGGGTGACGCGGAGGAGACGAAATGTTGAATAAAGTTGTTGTTTTTTTCTTTTGCGCACAAAAAGTATTCTCGTAGCTTCGTATAATTGCGGATGAACCCCTGATGTCACATGGATTATTTTACAGTTCTCCTTGCTACGTTTCTGAACTTGGGAACATTTCAGTTGCGTTGCTGTCTATGCAGGGTCAGACAGCTCTCAGATTCCATCAAAAATATCTTAATTTGTGTTCCGAAGATGAACGAAGGTCTTACCTAACCCTTTAAAGCGATCCAAATGAAGTTCTTAGCAATGCATATTACTAATCAAAAATGAAGTTTTGAGATATTTATAGTTGGAAATTTACTAAATATCTTCATGGAACATGATCTTTACTTAATATCCTAATTATTTTTGGCATAAAAGAAAAATCGATCATTTTGACCCATACAATGTATTTTTGGCTATTGCTACACATATATTCATGCTACTTAAGACTGGTTTTGTGATCCAGGGTCACAAAATAGCAACATTTGTGTTTTTTTCCCCCCACATTGTGAGGTCCATCCTAGTTTAACAGATTATCGAAAAAGAAAAAATGCAAAGCCGGACTTGGTTCTATGCATCGGTTTTTGATTGGATTTTGAGATGTTGGTATTGCGCTGGAGACGGATGAATGTGAGCTTGCAGGGGTGGAGGTTAAGTGGACTAAATGATTAGAGAAGTATTTTGAGATACCAAGAATATGAACGTTGTATGAAAGGTTTGTATGGTAACTAAATACATTTTTTAAATACAGATACAGTATGTTAAAAGCACATTTTAGTTCATATACAGTACATGGTGTCTCAAAATAGCACAGTTGAGTACACGTAGATGTTCTTAAGATTATCTTAAAAAGTAATTTTTAGTATATTAATTAGTGCATGAAATAGAGCACTTTAAGTACATTAATGGAAGTGCACTTTTTTTCACCTGGGGTGGAGTGTCCAGTAATGATATTTTGAGTTTAGAACATTAAAAAAATGTAATATATATGCATGGATGAATCGTAAACATGCATTTAAGCAATAAAAGTCATGCTGAAATTTTGTTGTGCCACCCCAGAGTTCAACTACGTCTCCTGGACGAAAAGCCAATCACACAGACCGAGAATCATGGCCATCAACCTCAAGTAGGTCACTTCAGTGTTATTCTGCTATTCTATAGAAATTCATGCAGGGTCCCACTTTTTAGACCAATGAATGGCTTTTCTGTAACCTTTCTAGTCGTTTGTGATTGTTGGATTTAAAAATCATTCACATTCAAACTGAATTATTCTGCTCATCTGTGAACCAATTCACTGAAAAGAACTGACTCAAAGGAATGATTTGCTCACATATTGAACATGCAATTTTTTCTCTACAAAGGAGCAATATATATACTGTATATATATATATATATACAGTATATATATTGCTCCTTTGTAGAGAAAAAATTGCATGTTCAATATGTGAGCAAATCATTCCTTTGAGTCAGTTCTTGATTCACACCAATTTCCATTACTTAAACGGTTGTTTTCTTGTTTCCAGAGATGGCTCATTCTCACAGTAGCCCTGTTCTTAGTGCAGCAGCCTCAACCAAAGTACTCTACTATACAGATCGCTCTCTCACACCCTTCTTGGTCAACATCCCTAAGAGGTGACGGAAATAATGACATTATAGCATCATCTTATAGAGACTGAATCCACAGGTCTCCTCATCTAAATATGAACTATTTATTGGTAGGCTGGGGGAGGTCACGCTACAGGATTTCAAGGTGGCTGTGGACAGACATGGCAGTTTCAGATATCACTTCAAATCTCTGGATCCAGAGTTTGGAACAGTGAAGGAAGAGGTGAAAATCACAACTAATCAGGAGTAATTCAATATTCCAAACTTAAAAGTAGCAATTGCTTAGGGTCTTTCTCTAAATGTGTGTGACATCTTTCAGGTGTTTCAGGACAATGCTGTTATTCCTGGATGGGAAGGGAAGATTGTCGCATGGGTGGAGGAGGATCACAGAGAGGGGAGATAGAGCATGAGGGTTTGATCCATTCAGAATGTATGTTTTACCCTACATATGTATACCTCATCCCTGCAAAACTCTGAAGCCTTTGTCCTGTCCTAACTGTGAATCTCACTGAACCAGTTCACTATGTCATTACAGCAGGCCAGTGTTTGTAAAATAGGGTTATATGCATTTTTAAGAATGAAAGAAGAATTAATTTTTTAACTTTATTAAAAAATAGTTTACAGCTAAATACTGATGTTTTTGAGTGCACTGAGGTTATGGTACATTCTGTTTTCCAAAATCTAGTGTTTCAGCATTGCCATTGTGATAAGTGATCAAGAAAAGAAGATTATTTAAAACTTGTATTTGTCTTGTGCAGTGACAAATAATAAACATGTTGCATTAGTTGCCAAACTTTGACAAGCATATAACACATTGTGTGCATGTATTGTCCTGCCAGAAAAAGGCAATTTTAAGAAAACATATCATCAAAAATGTCCGCATTCACGGTAATATATTTTTCACTAAAATGTGTTAACCTTTCTTGACTATCCTTTGAAAGTAAGGGGTGGTAAAAGCTTTGTTTGTAAAAATGTGTAACATTTGAACATATTGAAATATTCCTTTTGAAAATGATTGTACTTTTCCTATCAAGTTTGCATGTCTGTTCATAGTGTTTGGTATCTGTGTTGTAAATGCAAATGCAGTTGACACTTGTCCACCTTTTATTAAAGGCTTTCTGTGCACAGGTGGAGGCTTTTTTGTGTATTCAATTTTCTAAAATCTCAGCAATGCACAATATATCTGTTATATTGATTATTTGCTGATATTAGAGATTTTTTTTCTAAACTAAACAATGTAATCTTCAGCACATCTAAGAATGAATATCCATTTTTCATACTGTACTTTATAATGTTATGTCTAAATTCACTTTAAAATGAGAGATTTTAGTTTTTAATGTTCTATTTTTAAATTATTTAAACAAAATAATACAGAATTTTAACATCAAATAATTATTAAAATTAATAATCATTTTATTTGAACAGCAATAACATGAAATAATTATTGGCTTAAGAATTTATTTTGGTGCATCCCTACATAATCTCTATAACAGTCTTATAGTTTCAAGAACAGATGTCTGTCTGTGAATAAAATATACCGGTTGAGGCCAAAAATGATGTATATAATTATTGATGTAACCGTGAATTTCATTGCATGATTAATGATCTTGGAGACAAAAGTCGGTAATACAACTATAGTGTTTATATTTTCAGTTTCTGGATAAATAAGAGTTAAGTGTTCTCCTTACACAGTCACTGTAACATTTAGAGTCTGTTTCTTCTTATTAAACGTTGCCGTGCATGTGTCCTCCTTGACCAACTCAGGAAACTGAAGATGAAGATAATAAAGGTCTTCCACTTCCAGGAGAATATCATCCTAAATAATAAAAACCAACACCTTATTGAGTTCACAACATGAATAAAACCCATATAAGGTCTGCGCAAAGGTTAAACCAGATCTGTGGAAAATTCAATTTATAAAATAAAAAGGGCAACAGTTTTGTAATTAAAACTTCACCCCACACAGTTGACGTACTGGTGATACTGACCTGAGAGATGCTGAGCCAGCACTGTGACACAGATCTCACCCCAGGAAGCTCAACACTCAGCTGCAGGCTCCTAGATGAGCCGCTGCCATCAGGACAGACTGTGAGACGATGCTTGGGCTGTTGTGGCTGCGATTGGTCTGATTCTGTGCTGGAGATCACCTCAATGAGACCTGATCGGGCTGGTTTCTTCTCCTGCTCTGTGTTCAGCTGGATGGTTGAGTCCTCATTACTCTCAGCCAGCCGCAGTGAGGAGATCTGCTGCAGGAGTGATGGGGCTACACAAAGAGAGGTCACTCAATTTTGCACTGCAATCCTCAAAATCACTTCATTTGCATTCCAGCAGGTTCATAACGAGGTTCTATACAATTAGCTAATCTCAGTAGCTCTTAAAACCTGTAAGATAAAGCTCAAACTGTCACTGTGTTTCATGGGCAGTTTACCTGGTTCAGAATGTGGGTTTTTGGCAGAAGATTCGCACGTCTGTGGTGACATGAGACGCTGCTTCATATCCTGAATTCTGCCTTTGATTTTGTCTTTGTTGAGTTTATAGCGCTGGGACAGACTCAGATTGTGTTGCTGCTGGATGAAGCTCAGAGCAAGTAGGCAAAGCTTCTGTTCCTCCTGTTTGTCTTTCTCTGTCGTCTGCAGAACTTCAGGGTTGAAGGCAACATCAACAACACTGTATTGCTCTGTAAAACACGCAGGAGATCAGATTGTCTCAATATAAGGTGTTTAACAATCAAGTAGGTTAGTTGGTGAGTTACTTGGATTGGAATACAAGACTATGAACCAATGAATAATGGAACAAATGTCACCTAAAAAGTGAGTCTTTTAGTTAGAAAGAAAATGGTTTGAAAGCATTTAATAATTTTAATTGTTAAGGATGAGATGGCATTTTTGTACCATTTTCCTCAGTCACTGTCTCCATTCGTCCTCCACACACAGGAACGGGATCACTGTAAGAAGTGGGCGCTGGTACACGTTTCCACCCGCACATGTTAATGTACAATATTCCTTCCTTTGGTCCCTGAAAAAGTAATCAGAGAGAAAGTCCTTTTTAGATTTCTACATCATACTCAGAAATTATTATTTCAAACTAGTTGTACATGCCAGCCATTTTCTGTGCCACCATGGTTCAGTGATGGTATCAGAAGCTAATACATGGTACTAAATAATTATCATTCATGTAACTTTTCATGGAACTTAAATGCACTTCCTTCCAGGAATTTCATGCAATTATATAAAGGAACATGAGATGATGCATACATTTAATAGTTAGGGAAAACTGGCCTTTATATAGCTAAAATAAATAAATATGCAGTAGTAATTTCCTAACAACAAAATTGAGGCCAGTGACAATGCTGAGTGGCTAGTAATTTTGGAAAACCACTAGCCACAGTGGCTGGTGACCAAAAAAGTTAATGTCAAGCCCTGAACATGGTAACGTTACCATGACAACAAAAGCTAGCGATCAAATCAAATAATAAGGCCTCTAAACTGCTCTCATACAGCTACAATGGTATATTTGTTTGTTTGGCTCTATAAAATAGGCTAAATCATAACAGACTTGGTAAAGTTTAAAGGTGTAGTTTACTTTACCAGCAGAGCAGTGCGGATGCAGGCGTGCGGCTGCGGCGGTGAGTGAAACTCCGCTCCTTCCCGTAACTGGCGTTCAATGAAGGTCCTGTACTCCTCCGGGTTATTCTGAGACATGTTATCTAACATCGACCAAAACTGATTGACCTGCTGCAGAGCTGCCTTATTATCATAGCCAGGGATTTCCATGCTCAAAATGTACCGAAACTAGTGTAACAACTAAAAAAAAATGCGCTAGTTAAATATCCTTCCAAAAGAAGAGTAACAAGTTAACGTTACTCGCGCTGACTGACTGAAGGCTAAAACTAATATGAAAACAGTTTGGAGTTAGACGGATATTTACCAGATAACGTACAATATTTTGTAACAAATGCTTGGTATATTGATGCAAAAAAAAAGTCGTACATGATAATATTTTGTAAAAGAGCAAGATAAATGATCAAATCCAGGACAAGTTTTTCGCCCTCCCTAAACTCATAGAAGGTTACCATAGAAACTAATCTAACACATGCACTGTTCCTTGTCTTCCGATAGATGGCGCTGTTTCAAAATAACCGTTTCCATTCAGGGTTGCGAGATGCATCGGAACGCCGGATCCTCCGAATTAAATATGTTTTTTGTGTTACTGAAGACGTTTATAAACTCTAAAAAACGATTTTAGATACAATACAATTGTTTGGTGATTCATCTAATGATTTATTAAATCGTATCGCGTAATCACAAGCGACTGTGATTGGACCAGGCTTATCAGCGCTGAGAAAAGTAACAGTTTGTACGTGATAGCAGCGGACACTGGCATTCAAGCTGATTAAATACGAGCCAGATTTTCTTGATTAAAGCGGTGTTAGAACTTGTAAATTCACGGTAATTAAATACTCTTTAGGCTTTCCAGACAGTCACAAAAACAAAAAACTGTGCAAAAGTACAATAACAATAATGACACCTGGGGCCAGTTGCATAAACATAACCACTATGTAAAAAAATGTGTCTTAAGAGCTAGTTTGACCAACTAGCAGTTAGCCAAGAGATAATCAGTCTCACTTTTCAGATTAAAATTGGGCCAATCTACATTTTTGTAACTGATTTTAATGACCAGTATAGAAGAAAACAAATTAGATGGCTAACTTTTTTAAGAGTAGTCTAAGCAGTTTATGCAACCGGCGTCTGATCTGACAACTGAAAGCTGTTTTCTTTTTAGGATGGAGTGTCTGTGGGACTTTTAAAATGAAAATAAAAAGAACAGCTCACAATTTTTGTTATACATTTATTTTAAAACCACAAAGTAACACAACATACAGCAAACATGTAATGTACAAACATCTAAATGTAATCATTACATTTCTTTGTAAATGTTTGAGGCTTTATATAATAAAATATAATAAGTAAAATAAAAGGCCACAATTTAAAAATGGTCCGGATATTCTTCTCTTCTCTTCTCTTCTCTTCTCTTCTCTTCTCTTCTCTTCTCTTCTCTTCTCTTCTCTTCTCTTCTCTTCTCTTCTCTTCTCTTCTCTTCTCTTCTCTTCTCTTTTCTCTTCTACTATCAAACGTGAGTCTTTAGTAGCTCTAGGACAGGAATCAAGATGTAAGAGCACAGAGCATATCAATTAACAGCTTAAGTTTATATTTCAAGGGTCATTGATGCCTGTCTCTTCATTCATTCATACTTACCTCTATAATCTCATATATCCACCCTAAAAACTCAGCCACTTTGGTATAAACTCCTGGATGGTTTGGCTCAGCACAGCCTGTTCCCCAGCTAACAACACCAACCAGCCTCCAGATATTCTCATCCTGGCAAACCAGAGGACCTCCACTGTCCCCCTAAGAAAACGTGGAGTCATTACTACATCTTCTCACGAATGCATTAGATAAATCTAATACAATTTTGAAAAACATTTTGAGCAGAATGAAGCTCACCTGACATGCATCTACTTTTCCTTCTGTATATCCAGCACAGAGCATTCGAGGGGTGATCTCTCCATTGTACATGCAAGAGCTATTGCATTTCTTTGTGCTTATTAAAGGTACAGGTGCCTCTTTGAGAACCTCTGGTATATGAACTTAAAAAAAGATTGGATAATTTACATACAGTACAATGTCTAAATCATACAAATAATTTAAATAATATGTATTTATTTTAATATACATGCATTTAAATATGCATTTGTAGAAAAACAGTACCATCATCTGGCTGTGTATATCCCCAACCAGAGATCCAGCACTGGGTTCCTCCTGGTAGATCATAATCATACTTAGGTAGACACACAGGTCTGATGGTGTCTGGGTGTGTAAAGAACGTTTAAAACCTGAAATAACTAGTAGATATTATGAAATACATGGCACACACAGTGACACATTTACTGAATATTGGTCACCTGAGAAATTCAAAAGAGTTCTTAATTTCACCAAAGCGATATCATTGTCATGCGTCCTGTGGTTGTAATTCTTGTTGTAGATGATCCTCTCCACAGCTAAGCCTTGGTATTGAGCCAGTTTTGCTGAATTGCTGGTTACAATACCAGCGTAAACCACCCAACTGGACACTTGAGGTAGCCTGTAGCTTCAATAAGCAAGCAAATCAGATGATATGCACACTTAATTGGCTTATAATAAATTCCTTTGCAGAACCCAATGTTAGACAGTGCCTGTCATCTGGTTAATCCTGTATCTTTCTAACACCACATTCCAACACGCACCACATTCCAACACTATTGTCAACTTCTACATAGTTACAGTGGGTGAGTCTCACAAAAACATGTCCTTTTAGGGTTAAAGAAATAGTTCACCAAAAATAAAAATTGGCTGAAAATGTACTCACCCTCAGGCCATCCAAGATGTAGATGAGTTTGTTTCTTCTTTGGAACGATTTTGGGGAAATTTAGGTGCAGTGAATGGGTGCCGGCAGAATGAGAGTCCAAACAGCTGATAAAAAAAAAAAAAACATCACAATCATCCAGTAATTCACATGACTCCAGTCCATCAGTTAATGTCTTGTGAAGTGAAAAGCTGCATGTTTTTAATAATCAAAACATCAAGATGTTTGTTTATTATTATTATTATTTCAAACTGTTGCTTCAGACTAAAATACGAGTCCTCTATTCATAATATTGCTCTCTCCAATGAAAAAATCATTACGTGGAGAGAAATATGTACAAATCAAGCAGCATTTACAAGTGAAAACAGTCCAAAGCAGTACTAAACAAATTTGTTATGATGTGAGAGGACAACAGGGGACAGACTTTTTAACTGGACGAAGTGTCATTATGGATTATGGACTCATATTTTGGCTGGAAGTGACAGTTTAAAGTTCAAAGCCTTCATGATGGATTTGTTTCTTACAAACATGCATATTTTCACTTTAATTGATGTTAGATGCTAATTGATGGACTGGAGTCATGTGAATTACTTGTGGATTATTGTGATGTTTTTATCAGCTGTTTGGACTCGCATTCTGACGGCACCCATTCACTGCAGAGGATCCATGGTGAGCAAGTAATGTAATGCTAAATTTCACCAAACATCTTCTACATCTTGGATGGGTGAGTATATTTTCAGCAAATTTTCATTGTTTGGGTGAACTATTCCTTCAAACCATAATTAACCCCAATATTATAACCCGTCTCTTATTTTGTTTTTCTTAGGGTTTCTGACAAGTCTGGTGAGATTCACCCAAAGTCATAGTTATTGTAAATGAAGAGTCTTACTTGTGGACACAGTGAGCAGCTGTAACTATCCATTGGTTGGTGATGACAGATCCTCCACAGATGTGGCGGTTACTATAGTAGAGACTCACTTGCCAGGGCCATCTGCCAAGAGTGGCTTCCACTCCTCCAACAATCCTAGGTAACTTTGCTCTGGTACCGCACTCTACAATGAAGCAAATAATCACACTCAGCCACAGATAGACAGTGTATATGGATAGTATGTATTATTTCAGACTAATATATTAAGACGCACCAAAACATTTCAGTGCTATCACCTTTCCTGTACTACAGCTTACCCTGCAAAAAAAAAAAGAAAGAAAAAGAAAAAGAAAAAGTGTGACAGTTGTTTTTCTGCAAATTCAGAATTTGTATTTTTCTCAACTACCTGAAACGCCATAAACTCTCCAAATTGCTTTGGTGATCTGAGGTGATTTGGACAAATCCGTCTGTGTAGTTCGGCCCAATATCAGTCAGATTCACCCCTTTGTGCTTTGACAATCTGAAAGAGATTATTTGACAACACTTGCTTTAGTTCATCTAAAAATTTAAATTTTAACTCCTCATTCAGTTAATTAACTTTTTCTCATTTCATTCCAAACTGAATTTCTCACTGTTCACTGTAGCCGTCAGATCACACACTACTTTATGACACTTTCATTGTGCTTTTTCATCCTTTTTGGAGCTTGACAGCACTTTTCACTTTCATTTTAGGGAAAAGGCTGTTTTTGGAAACAGCTCCATGGTTCTGTAAAAAATCTCAACAGTAAAAGCCATTCAAGTTTGAAGTTACATGAAGGAGAGTAAATGATGACAGCATTTTTATTTGTGAGTGAACTATCCCTTTAATATCCCTTAAAATGTCTGTATGCTGCACACGTCATGTTTTGAATTAGAAGGGAACATGACTTTAAAGTACATTTCAATACTGCTGTCCCTCTATGAATGGTTGACCTACAGAAAACAGCCACAGCTGGTAGTCAAGTGAAAGGTGCTGAGAGCAGCAAGTGTGTGTGTGTGTGATTCAGCTGTCAGCATGCTCACCTCAGATAGCCCAGTTGTCGACATACAAGCGTTCCCAGAGAGGAGTTCCACCTCTCGTAACATACGGGCAGCCACGTCTGTAGCTTCTCCAGCTGGATCTCCAGAAGAGAGTTCTCAGCACTGATCCTGTAAAACACTGAGCCCCATTCAGTCAAAATCCCTCCTAAAACAACATACTGTAGCACAGTGAATGGGGCTGCTGTTAGGGGATATGATATTTAAACGGAATTTGTTTAGAGGATATATTAAGAAATCAAAGTATTTGTTGATGTGTTGAAATAGCAGGCACAAATAAATCCAGGAGACGCGAATGGTTTCATTTTTAATCTGTTCATTTACATGAACCATCCAAATGAACAGATTCACTCACATTAATCAGACTTTCCAATGCTCGCCACACAAGTAACCATTTAAGATAAACCAATTCACTAGGATTAATCAGACTTTTCAAGGCTTTTATATGAAGGGGAGGACAATTTAAGATTAACAATTCACTAGAATGAATCAGACTTTCCATTGCTTAATATGTGAGAAATTACTGTTTAGGTGCGCGTGTTTGATTATCCCATTTGCTCAGACATTAAAAACAGCAGTATGTATTCGAAAAGCTGCTTTGAAAGTTATGCTATTGGGCCACTACGTTGAAAACAATTGAACTATTTTCACACTACTCAAAAAAATTACTCAAGATAGTACTAATGTTGTAGAGTTACTTGGTTTTAGTTAGTTACAATGCCAGCTGCATAGTCCACTTAATTTTTACTTGCTCTCCCTTTAGTTTGCTTCTCTTGTTAATGTGTTTGTTACAGCTTTCGCTGGTCATTGTTTGTCACTTTGTTTATAGTGCCAGTGAGTTTGGATGAATGTCCACTGTGCTGTTTACCTGCTGGGTCACTGTTGTTTTTGCAAAATGTGCAAATAAAGGGACCTTTATTACCTTTCCTGGTGTCCTTCACAGAGGTGTCCTCGGTTACATTGCAGAAGGATGTGTCTTTGGTGTCTCCTAAACTCACAGGGCTTTGAGCTGAGTTTGGTCGTAAGAGAATTTTCACTGGAAAAACATTAAAGACGTTAAATGCAGAAATATTTCATTTGAGTGCTACTGTGTCTGTACATTATAAGTGCACAAATTTCACCAAAGCTTGTGAATTATTTAACTTCTTACCTATGAACCAAACTCCAATGACAACACCTCCCAGCAGACAGAGTACACACAGAGCTGCAAACACTCTCACCAGTTTATGGGCCGACACTTTGCCAGACACTTTATTAAATAATAATAGTTGTTCAACAAATATCAAAAAAAAAAAAGGCTGGTCATTCCAAATCTGTGATTTCTAGAATATTGCAGCTTTACAATGCAACTAATTCAATCAAAGCCCCCAAAACGGTTGGTTGTCCACGTAAGACAAATGCACAAGACAGGATAATGTGGAGACTCTCATTGGGGAATCGGTTCAACATTGCAGCTGGAATTGCTTGCCAGTTCAGCGATGAACAGGTTATGGATCTGTGTCTAATGACTGAAAGCGCACTCTGCAGTGACGAAGCCTCTCATTAACAGAAAAAAATCAAAAGGCTAGGCTCACCTTTGCTGAGGAGCATGTTGTGTGGAGAGAGGAGAACTGATCCAAAGTTTACTTTAGTGATATGAGAGCAAGTTTAGTTTATTTGGGTCCGATAGGAAACATTATGTTCGACATCAAACTGGGGAAAGATTGAACTCCAAGTGCATAAAGAAGTCAGTGAAAGGTGGAGGAGGAAGTGTCATGGTTTGGGGGATGTTTTCTGCAGCAGGAGTTGGGCCTCTTAAAGAAATTGAATCAGAATAAAATTTAAACTCAAAAGTCTTCTTTTATATATATATATTTTTTTTTTTTTGTGCCAGCTGTTAAATAGTACAAATAGGCTACTCAGATCAGAACTGCATAGTGGAAAAGTTTTAAAAGAAAATTAACTTTTTTCCATCACCACCACATTTTCCAGGAGAAAATAGCCTACACCTCATCCAGATGCATCTTGTGATCTCCATGGCTCTCGCACTCATCAATTCTGATATTGCTTATTTTTTCTTTTTTTAATGGGCTGATTCCGATATGACTGCTGATTTCGCAGATGAATTAACGAGAGAGCAGAATTCAGTCAGCGAATGCGCGCACTTGACAAAACTCCAGCATTTCAGCATTGACTAATCTGGATGTCTCTGATTGGCCATTGCATTCAAGCTCAACAGACTTGTGTGTGATTGGTTATAATGCGCAACACAAAACGGCCCAAACATGAGCAGATATAAATATAGATTTATTCGCTATAGGGGCATTCTTTAGTCCAATTTTTTTTTTTTGGTGCAATACCATTCCAAATTCAATTCAATTCAATTTTTTTTAATCTGTATCTGAACTTGTATCAGAACTGTAAATATTTTTTTACAGTAATTTTATGGTGTAATATTACCATAGGATTAAAAAAATTCTGAAGATATCCTGATTTTATAATAAATGTATTATTGTTTAATCACAGTATTTCTGTGATGATCACCAGCTGGAGTTGATAACCACCAGAGGGCACTCCATCCCATACCTCTGTCAGTCAGTCTTGGACTTCATTTCCCATAATCCTTTGCCCGGACTCATTAGAACTTATTGGCCCTGTCCAAAATAGAACACTTCATGTGCACTTTCGGTCTTGCGGATTTACAATGGCCGTCACGTGCACGTGTCCGTTAAGTCCACGAGACCGTAGGGTGTCCTATTCGTCATTTTAATGTTCAAAAGGGTGCTTGCGAGCGCCCCCTTTGCGGTCATTATGTGCCCTCAATCAGCACTTCTGCCGAGCCCGCACTGGGGCGAGCTCCGCAGCAGACTTCTACCCGACAGTCAAAGCGGCATTATGTCACGAAAGTGTGGACTCAGAGGAAGACCGCGAGGGTTTAGGGTGCCATTTGGGACAGGGCCATTGTTTGCACCTGGGTCTCGTTAAACCTGTATGCTCAGTGACTTAACGGACACGTGCACGCAGCAGCCATTGTAAGTCCGTGAGACCGCAAGTGCACATGAAGTGTTCCATTTGGGACAGGGCCATAGCCTGGTTCATGCAGTCATTTAGGGTCTTGCATGTGTTAAGTACTGCAATTCTGAGCCGTTATTTTAGTGTTTTCCTGTGTCTTGGTTTATTATGCCCCTTGTTCTGGATTTCTCTTTGTCTGTGTTTCTTGTTATTGTTTGGACTGTTTTGCTGGTTTATGACTTTTGCCTGTGTTTGGATCACGATTATGGATTACCCTCATTAATTTTAAACCAATTGGTACACATTTTTTTAAAGTGTGCTCTATTTGCTTTTGTGATGAATTTGTTAAATTAATCTAATAATTAATGAATTGGTTAAATGGCCAGTATGTGTCATGTAGACATGATTTCTCTTTAAATTGAATGTTTTTTATTTTGAAAAATCATATACCCATTTAAGAAATAATCGGTATCGATACCGATAACGGTATCGATTAGGGGTGCGCCGATCTGATATTCAATATCGGTATCGCTCCGATACTGGCATTTTCTGCTGGATCGGGTATCGGTCAGACGAGACCGATCCAAATCCGATATTGTGCGTATACTATTCTGTGTTATTTTAAAGCCCCACAAAAGGCACAAAATCATTATAAAGCACCATAAAGTTTCCTTGCACTATATTTCAAGTGTTCTGAGACCGTTCCATAGGTACAGATTAATATTTAAGTCATTAAATTCAAGTTCACTTAAACCCTTCTCTCCGCTGCGGCTGTCAGTCATCCTCCATTCAGCATTCAAACTGCATGTCGTGTTCGGTTATGACCATAGACTGTAAAAAAACATGAACATAGTGTCCGTGACGTCACTCGTAGGTTTCTGAAGAGCATTTTTGAAGCTCAAAGTGTGCGGAGATGGCCGTCGCCATCTTGGCTGCGCGTCACTCCCGGATAATCGAAAATTGGCAAAAAGGTGGGACGTGGGTGGAGCTGGTTGCTGAAACCATGCCTGTCTTGCGCGTCTGTGGCGACAGCAGCGGCAATCCACCTGTCACTCAAGTGGCCACGCCTTTAATTATGCAGAACTTTAAGGCTTAATATAATTTAAACGGATGAGTTATGAAAAAATTCACCCCCCTCACAGTTGTCACAAAATTTGATATAGACCAAAACTTTTTGTACCAGGCTGTAAACATTTTTTTCTGCTGTAAAGTTGGGCATTTTAACATGGGGGGTTTATGGTACTGACGGCGCTCTAGCGGCCAGTCGATGAATTGCAGTTTAAGTCACTTCCGTGTTGGTTTCAAGAGAGAGACCGGAAGGTTGCCGCTTGGTTATGACAAGGCAAGGGCTGTTCAAACTCGGTCCTGGAGGGCCGGTGTCCTGCAGAGTTTAGCTCCAACTTGCCTCAACACACCTGACTGGAAGTTTCTATGCCTAGTAAGAGCTTGATTAGCTGGTTCAGGTGTGTTTAATTAGGGTTGGAGCTAAACTCTGCAGGACACCGGCCCTCCAGGACCGAGTTTGGACAGCCCTGGTCAAGACGATAAAACTCTCTCCAAGATGATTCACTGCTCCTATTATTATACACTTGATCTGTAGATAAAGATAAGTGGTTTTGCATTAAATTACTTTATCTTGCTGGAGTTTAGTGCTGTTTCAAAAGCATGTTAACGTTACTTTCTACCGGGTGTTAGATCATTTAGATCATGGAGTAGAGAGCACTATGAATTGTTCTTCATGCGCACAGTAACTGAAATTTAAAACTGTTAAAAGAAAAGGCTCAATAAACTATCGCACAGATATAATACACTACGCATCAAAATCCTCTTCCCTTTGTGCTTTGAACTTTTCTATGTGGAGCGCTGCGCTGACTCCGTGTTGCTTCAAGCGCATAATTCTGCGCACGGGATACGCATAAGTGCTTTGTGCCGCTCCGTATAGGAGCCTTTGATCATGTTATAATACTTTTGCGCAATGAATTTTATATAAATTTTATAAAATTATTGTGCACTCATGATGTTTCTAGAGTAACTTTTGCTATTGAATTATCCACTAACCTAGTTTATAGTAGTATTTTTTTATCATAGATTATGATTATATATTTATTAATTTGTTGTTTTTCTTTACAATGAAGTTGTCTATATGTGGTAGATTGTGTTTAACACACAAAAGAGTGATGATCAGGTCAACACATTAAGGTATAGTAATTGTACACTGATTAAAAAAAAACTGTGCTGGTATCGGATTGGTATCGGTATCGGCAGATACTCAGAATTGCTGGTATCGGATCGGGATTGGTTCTAAAGGAGTGGTATCGATCCAGCCCTAGTATTGATATTGTTAAAATTGTAAAAAAAAAGGTTAAAAAAAAGGTAAAAAAATATATATATACAGTGGGTACGGAAAGTATTCAGACAGAATACATGGTAAAACTTTAGATTAGGGAACACATATTCACTATTAAATATATAGTTTAGTCATGAAACTCTAGATGGTGCAGGCTGATGGGTTGTTAACGTAACTGATGATATTCAGAGAGTTAAACGACTTGGCACAAGCTGATTGGTTCATGCAGCATATGCAGCCAATGAGCTTACTGCCTTGTATTTATATGGCTGGCTAGCATTCACTAGAGATTCCTGCAGTGCACTTTCAGATTTTCTCTGAAACCCTCCACCTTCCCCAGCTCCACCTGTATAGATCTGCTATAGGTTATTTTATATGCTATTTGTGCAGCAGCAGTATGTCTTAAATACTCACGGCACCGTATCGCTGTATGCATTGGCAGTAGCAAGTTCCTGTACTTGCTTGCAGCAGCAGCAATACTCTACAACTACAGCAATAACCAACAGCAGCAGCAATTCAGCAGCAGTGTAGCAGATCTATTCCGCCTAGACCAAATACATTAACATAGTCATATCCATCACCATGCTAAAATCTTCCAAGAGTTGTCATGATTAAACTAAGTTTTCACTTAATAAACTCCTAATTTGATGCTTGTTGATAGCAAGTAAAGTAGTTGTTATGTTTAGGGTTAAGGGATCTAGAATATGGTCATTGTTATGTGTTGGTATAATATAAAGCACACGACGAAGGAGTAGAGTCCCAGAAGTCATTTTTAATAAATCCACAAGGTGAAACCCCCAAGATACAAACATACAAACAAACAATATTGGACAATGAACTGAGGGAAACTTAGGGCTTAAATAGGGAACATAATCAGGGAGAAAAAGAACAGGGGTGTATTCCAGAAAGCACGGTTAACTTACCGTCAGCTAAACCCTGAACTTTTGGTTGATTAACCCCAAACCTTGCTTACTCGAGGTATGTGGTTCCAAAAATGCGTCCGGGAGTAAGTTCATTCAACTCAGAGTATGTTCCTGGTTAAGACTCAAGACATTCTCAACAGAGCGACGAATTGACAAGTCACTATGGAAACGGACGCTAAATGCTGTTT